CGCTAGCGCAATCTCCACGGTCCCCACTAATGATGCGTGCACCAAACGCTAAGGACGTAGGTTCACCCAATATAGTGCACTCACAAGACACGAGTGGACCAAGTACTGACCTGCTGGCAGGAGGTGCACGATTCACGAGCAAGTCTACGGAGCATTCAAAACCTCAAATCTTGAATCCATTGACTCGAGCGACGGGCAACTAATTAATCAGACACGACCACACGTGAATGCTGGATCTCGCGTCTCGCTGCTTCCTTGCGCGGCAGAAGGGTAGCATTGACCTCTCCGCAACGATCTTGCAGGGGCAAATGTCCGAGTGGCTGGGAGAACAGGCGCTGACCTCAGATTGTTGCTGCATTTGCCGAGTGGGCCTGGTCACTGAGGATTGGCGCTCGCTCGAGTCGCCAGTGCACTGCGACAGCTTCACGCAATGAATGCAGGGGTTTGCTACACTCCACCTTAGGCGTGTAAGATCTGCCTGGTTCAGAGCGAGCCTGACCATGTAAGAACAACGCGACTCCAATCCCGCTTTTGCAGGCTTGCAACCGACGTGTGAAGGGCTAGATGCCGGAGGCAACTTGTAGCTTGCTGGTGTTGAGCCCACGGAGTGAAATGCAAGCAATGCGGAAGCGCTCCACGACTGTAGTCTTTCAACCGCACACAGAGCAGTTCAGCGCAGCGAGATGGGAAATAGGGTCGATCGGTTTTGGCTGCATCGGTACATCGAGCACGCTTTGAGGAAAGAAGGGGTGCTGGGAAGATCAGCCTGAGGACAGCAGATACAGGGGGACTTTTGGCGTAGACTTCGGCAAGGACCCTGATTTTCTCAGGATGCTGTCTCTGCGATTGACCGACATTCTCGCGCTGGCTTGACATGGACACCCACTTCAACCATGATTCTGAGGGTTGTCCCGTTCGATTCGTTTCATACCAGTAGTAGTCGTAGTAGTACTACTACTTGTGAGTGGGGGTCAAGAACGTCGTCACTCGTGTCTTAAGTGTGAATTCATCACTTCAATAGCAAGGCTACGCGAACAGCAAACTTCACACCTGCCATTTCGGAGCAGCGAGTTGTCGAATTTCGCGCAAATCGTATGTATCGTTTTTTGCAGCCATGCGCTGCTCAAGTAAGCTGATCATGCCGGGGTGCCGTCTCAACGACACAGCCTCGTCCCGATCGAGCAGTTCGACTCACACTCGATGTCGGAGCTTGCGAGTCCCTCTCTCGCTCGCATCTCCCCAGCTAGAGTCGTAGGCTGCCAATTGGGCACTACTTCAAGCCTGGCACCTTTGCGCGCGCGTTTGCTGCTTTGCCAGCCTTGGAAGAAGAGTGCACCAGAGAAGCCTGTGCATGGCTAAACCAACTTGGGGCGCACATGGCTTGGCGGAGGTTGGCTGCAAGGAAATCATTTGATCTATGCGTGCATTGCGTCTGCTCTGCAGCTGCAGCTGCATTCACACGACCGCAATAAGAGGATGCTGCTGCGTTCGCCACGTCAGGTTAAAAAAGTCCAACTTTGCTCACTGTATTTTAAACTCCGCCCCGTCATGACGACTCGATGTCTGTCAGACTCTCGCGCAGCGGCAGCAGATGGCGTGCATCTGCAATGGGTACAGCATTCACAATCAAACTGCAGGGATACGAAGCACCTGTTACCGTGGCTGTACCATGACTTCTTCACGCCACACGTATTGGTAGCATTGAGCTTGATCTCCTGTGGCCAACACAACGGTGCAACTCCCCTACAGCAAGTGGTGCACCCTACAATTAACGTCTGCCGCATCGACGGCGAAGTCGCCGACGTGAATGCCGCCGCGCTGGTTCAGAGCTTCAGTGACCGTCAAAATTGTGGCGCCGCGAGCACAGATGTTCGAAAGAAGGAAAGCAGGAACATCTTGACGGAGCGTCTTTAGCGCAGCGCGTGCTGCGTTTGGCACACTAGCCGATGCTGCTGCAATTCCGCGCAGCTTTCTATACCGTGGCAAGCATGCGCGCGATTGGCCGCACGACACATCATGGAGAAGAGTACAAATACTGGAGGACTGAGGGGAGAACGCGCAGGCAATAGAGGAGTAGGTCGTTGTGAAAGATTTCTCTTTGACACGAGTGCTGCCATCCTACGGGTGCTGCGTACACTTTCTCAACAGATATCTTAATCGCTCGCTACAGCGGCATGGTCAGCCTGACAGCGTTCCCGTGTCTACGCGGGCATGAGACATCATTATCACTCTCCCCGCCTCGGGCTGCAGGGCGAGCAAACCAGCTGCATCTCCGTTCCGCTGCAAGTTGCAGTCTTGAGTGGATACTGCTCTCTGTACCTACCAGGTATGTAGCAGGTGCTCAATGGCGAATCAAACGCTCGGGCCACATCTTCATCGACGATCAGGATCGTTTT